CCTTCCTGCTTGAGTCGTTTATGGAAGTTACATAGTATCTGGATCCTCCAATGGCAGAAACTTCAGAAGGCCCGCATACATCGGTGTGAACCAACTCCAATTTTGTAGACTTTGGCATTGAACCTGTCTATGAGAAACTAACACGACTTTGTTTCCCAAATATGCATCCTTCGCATAACTTGTGTTCCACTGCCTTAAGTCATTTTAGTTTCCCTGTAGAGTGAAGAATTTTCATATCTTTTTTCACTCATCTGTCCCAGCCTACTATGCCATAATTGGATCTGACTCAAATGATCTACAACAGCTATCATATCTTTATCGTTGTCGTTGACATACAAAGTTCATCTTTCTCTTCCTCGAGTGATCACCATGGAACCCTTTGTAACTTTCCAGTTTCCTTGACCGAAGGATATTTCACATCCTTCATTATCCAGCTGCCCCACAGAAATCAGGTTCTTCATCATATTCCGAACGTGATGTACCTTACGAATCTTCCAAACTAAACCGTTCGCCATTTTTAAATTAACGTCACCAATCCCAATGATGTCCAAAGGGTCTCCATCAGCAAGATACACCTTCCATGATTTCCAATAACATAATTCTCAAGAATGTCACGTAGTCCTGTAATGTGAAAAGACACACCTGAATCCACCACCCATGTGTTATAAGCACCTTCAATTGCAAGAACTAGAGCATCATGTATTTCTTCAGCAACAACATTTGTACCAACATCGTTCTCCTCAGCTTTCTTTAGGGCTTTGCAATTCCTTCTTAGATGTCCTGTCTTACCATAATTCCAACATTCTAGTCTGCTATTTCTAGACTTGCTTATGTTGTTTCTTGACTTTCCACGTTTTCTGTAGTCTCTGTTATTATTTCTTCCTCTGCCACATTCAATGTTGTACCAGAAGTAGACACAATACCAGAATCCTTTGTGCGAATCTCCTCTCAAAGAGCTGCATCTCTGACATCTGCAAATTTCAATTTCTCTTTTCCATAAGAATTTGAAATAGCTGCCTTCATAGGCTCCCAACTGTCAGGTAAAGATCTCAACAACAAGATAACATTTAATTCATCCGTAAATGTTCAATCGACAATAACTAGTTTGTTAACCAACGTATCAAATTCATTTATATGGGCAGCCACAGATGTACTTTCATCCATCTCCAAATTAAAAAATTTAGTTGCGAGATACACCTTATTATTTACCGAGGGCTTCTCGTATATGTTGGACAGTGCATTCATCAGCCCCATTGTGGTAGTCTCCTTAGCTATGCTGCTCTACACATTTTTTGTTAATGTTAGGCGAATCGTACCCAACACCTTCCTGTCCAACCTTTTTCCATTTTGCTTCTTCCATGTCATCTGACTTCTTGTCTAATGGCAATTCCTATTCCTTGGAATGTAGATAATCTACTATCTGATCCTTCCAGTACGAAAAATCAGTTCCATAAAAAATAATCAATTTATCTTCTCCAGTTATCGTTCTTCAATCTTTGGCTCTGATACCAATTGTTGTGAATAAATGCAGCCTACACTTAAAAGAATTAGATAAAATAATCTAAAACTTTTAAGTAACAAGAACGATAAATAAAGATTAGGGAGAAGAAAATTAAATGCCGGATTTATATTGGTTCACCTAGTGTGGGCTACGTCCAGTTCTCTGCTATCGTTGCACGTTCTACTAAAATGTCAGGAAGAATCTCTAAGAGTTTACAAGCCCTATACAATGATTTCTCTCAGTTTTCCCTCACACAGAAAAACGCTCACGAATCACTCTCAGTCTTCCGATAATGGCAGACCTAAAATGACGGGCCGAGAATAGCGAACCAAGAATGGCTGACTAGAAATGACTGATCAGGAATGACAAGTCAACTTTCTTTCCCCTCTTTTGGTGGGGCATCGTTTTGAGCTTCTCTTCTCAAACTAGAAATTCTTCTCCTCTCTGGCTCAACATGAAATGTAAGATATTTCAGTCCGAGCAGCAATTAGCAAGTGGCATATTTTTTCGAGATAATCCAAGTAATGGATTTACATCAAATACTTTTAATGCAGAAGTCCGACATTTTGTCTAACTTATTATCTTCTACTTTGAAGGTGGGGGTCACTATTATGGATAGGAAAAAATAATAGTTCCTCCAACTTGAATTCCCCTTTATTTAAGAATTCGAATTTCCCTTATTTAAGGAATTCAAATTACTCTTATCTAAGGAATTCAAATTGCCATTATCTAAGAAATTTGAATTGTCTTTTATTCAGGAATTTGAATGGTCTTTTGTCTAACTTATTATCTTCTACTTTGAAGGTCGCGAAAAAGAAAAGAGAAAGGGAAAGTCGAGCAGAAAAGAAAGAGGACGGTTTCAAAATTGATTTACGAGACTTTTGGCGACGCAATAAGTTTCGTCGCTTAAAGTCCCAAATTTTGTCGCCAAAAGCTGGCGTTTGATTTCGACGAAAGTTTTGGCGGTCGAAATCCCTCCCAACTTTTGGTGACGACATTTTTTCCTTGCCAAAAGACCAACTTTTGGTGACGAAATTGATTTTGGTCGCCAAAAGTCTGGCCTTTTTGGAGACGAAACGACATTTCGTTGTCAACAGGCTTGCAATTTTGTCGCCAAAAGTTGGCCTTTTGGCAACGAAATTCCATGGCGTCACGAAATGCTCCGTCGCCAAAACCTAAAATTCTTGTAGTGGTATATATGACAATAGTTACAAAATATATTTGTCAACTTTGGCATATTTTATGAATTGGTCGAGGCATATATTATTAACTAAAAGATCAAAGGTTTAAATCTCCTACACCACATGTTCTTAAACTCAAACAAAGAAAATTACAAAATGTATATAGAACAATAGTATCGAACCGTAATTAAAAGACACAAATTTCGAACCTATATGTATCTCGACAGTTATTAGGGACGACCACATCTAATTAAAATGCGGATAAAGAGTTAATTAAAAGAAAAAAGAAAAGATTCCATGATGTGTGTAAGGTACTCTATAATGAAGTAAGTTAATTAATGGCACTTTCCAAAAGGGAAAAAAGAAGAAAAAGGGAAGAAGACTTAGAAGAGAGATGATGGAGTTTTGCTAGCGTCACCAATGACTCAATGCTTTTCTAAGCAGCCACTCCAGTCGTTGGATTAAAAAAGATGAAGCCGAAGAGAAGAGAAATGGAGTCATCATTTATGGTGATGCAATACAGTGCTTCCCCGGCTCCACTACTCCAACCTTACTCCACTATTTTTTACAGTCTACAATGTGTTCTTCTTTTGTATCATTTAATTATCCCAACATTCTTCTTTTTAGTTCCTCCCTTTCCTTTCCCACCCCAATTGCCTCTTTGTCTTTTAAGTTTAGTATCATCTGGAAAGTCACGAGTTCGAATTCCCCACGTTTAAATCCTAATACAAAAAAACAACTTTGTGATGACTTAGTTAATATATATATCTTAGATGGTATTTGTTGATGTCGAATTCTGCTAAATCCGAGAAGACCATCAAATTTCTCTTATCAGGCAAGGCTATGCGAGGAAACACCTGCACACAAACAACAAATACTATGAAGCTCAAGTCAAGTTAAGAGTTCGACCTGAGTAAAGTTGGATCGAGACAACATTATGTACTTGAGAACCAGGAATGAATGTCTTTTTATAGGCAAAATAGGGATCGTTATGGTATGGCCGTTCTAGAAAGTGGTTACATGTGGTTACAGACGGTTATGTGTGGTAGCTAGGAGACACACGGTACTTCAAATTAGATGACCCTTTATTGAGGCCACCAGTGACCTGAGTTGTATAGGTCGCCACCTAGAAAGGTACTCAGCTCGAACACTGCGTATGATCCGAATAAGATAAGTCAAGCAAGATGATCTACTTTTATTGGTCCATGTGTTAGATCAGATTTTATCCTCAATAGTATGATAAAATAAAAGTAAAAACAAATAATAATAATAATAATGACAATGACAATCTAAATTTGACCATTTGAACATCTGACCTTAGAACGGATGTACAACATATCTTAACCAATTTGGTAGTATAGAAATTACAGAAATTACACTACTTTCTTTTTTTTTTTTTTGTAATTTCCTTCATGTAAACATTTTTCTTTTGAATCAATAATCTTTTCTTTTAATCTTTTCACTGAAAAAATTACATTTAAATAGAATAACAATATGATAAATTTACACCAAATATAAAATTAAATGCTTGATTAATTTACAAATGAAGGTAAGATTTCAAACCTATAGTATGTCATTTTCTATCTTTCCTTTTTATAATTACCACATGGCTCTTACAAACAAAACATGTCATTATTTTTATGGCTAAATACGTAAATGCTTTTTGTCATTTTGCTGTTGTGTCCCCAATTAAATTAATTTTTAAAAGATTTGAATTTTATCCTCTTATTCGTTCAATTTCTCTCTATTAAATCCTTAACTACTTGATTAAGATTAAAATTCATTAACAAAGTGATTTTTTTTTTTTTGAAGCACATTAATGAAAAAGTGATTATTTTGAAAACACAATAAAAACAACAAAACCACTAATCACTACACTAAAGACAACATTTTCAATTTTTTACCATATTATTCTGCTTGCTTTTTGTCCGTTTAACATTTTTAGATTTTCCTTGCAGTCATGGAATTCCAAAATTATTGAACTGATTTAAAACCCTCATAAATCTCAAATAAAATACGTAAATCTTCACTTTCCTCCACAAAAAACGTGCCTATAACATTTGTGGTGTTATTTTATTCACTCCTACATTTCAAATTGGTATACCGTATCTATTAAAAAACATAACAGAACAAAAAAGATAAAATCTAAAGATAAAACAAAACATTCTTATAATTGTATAGGAGTGGAAAAGAAAAAAAAAAGATAATTCCAACATATATATATATATTGAGAAGCAAAGAGAAAGAAATCAAGACCAAAACTTAGTTTGATTGGGAACATTCAGAAGAGATTTGCATGAAAAATGAAGGGAAAAAAAGGAAAAAGGGATTTTTTTATAGAACTAATTAATTAAAGTAACATATAATATAATAAAGAAAAAGAAAAAAAGAGGTGGGGTTGGGTAATTTTGGGATTTGGGTGGGGGAAGGGGCTGTAATAATAATAATAATTGTGTTTCATTGGATGCGATTGGGTAGACTTATTTCCTCAAGATCATCCAACGTTAAAAAAACTTCATCCAAACAAGACAGCTCTGCCCCATCTTCTTCTTCCTTCTCTTCATCTCTCTCGTAGACTCTGCACAACACCCATTTGCTGTAATCCTGAAATGTCGATATCGATGAAAATGTCACACTTATAAAAATATTGATTAAAATGTTGATTTTGACGGATATACTTGGGAGTTAAAAGAAAAAAATAGTAAATGATAATTTTATGGAAAAAAAATATTTAGGTACTTTAGTTATTTAACACCATTAAAAATTTTCATCTATTTATTCTATTTTCTCTCTTTTCTTATATTCATCTCTTTTGATGATTAAATTTTTTTAATAGTGATAGGATAAGATACCTAGTAAAAATTAAATATTAATAGAAAAGAAAAAGAAAATACTTAGCAATACAAAACCATTGAGATTTTGATGAATATGAGAGAGAAATGCGGAGAATGAGAGGAAAAAAAGATAGTAAGGTAGTATTAATATATACCATTTTACTTGCTCAGTCATTTCCCTATATCGTGCCCACTACTAAATTATTGACATAGTGTATTTTTCTGAGGGTGGACAGTAGAAAGTATTGTCCTTACAATTATTGAGAAGTTACAAATTCTTATGATTTACGTGACATATCGACAAATTTTGTTGTCTTTTTAATTATATTCTATCGATATTTTTATGGTCTAATGAAAATATTTATGGAAACTAAAAAATATAAAATACAGACCCTTTTTGGACGTCCTCGACGTTTGGATGATCTGGCGGCGGCGGTGGAGGAAGAGGCGCCGTCGCAAAGACGGAACTCGTGCATTATCCAGTTGGTTTTGGCAGCTCCGGTGGCGGCGCCGACTTCGCCTACGTGGAAGACGAAATACTTCTTCATCCCGACGATGTCGGAGGTGGCGGCGGAGACCACCGGCTCGTCTCTGCCCAATGGCTTCCAGTAGCCATTATCAGTAACACGAGCCTCAATCTTTCTGCTGTAGAAATACCATCGGTTGCCCTCTCCCAACGCCTTCCCTGAAAGTACACAACCAATAAGCAACTTCCCAGTTGGCATTTGGCAAGACTTCAAAATTAAAAAAAAAATACATATCAAAATTTCTAACTCCACCACTCCTTTCCAAAATCAATTGACAATGAAGTGGGTAGTTCAGGTCTATTATAAACAACATTTCTTTCAACGTGAGATTTTTAACATGTCCCTTTAAGATAGTGGTTCTTTTTGGCTTTTTGATATTGATCAGATTTCATTTTTGGACAGGACTCGTTTGAACTTTTGAACTCTCGTACCATATCACTATTCTTGGAGTTCCATCTCAAAATTCATTCAAGGATTTGAGAAGCAGACTAGAGATTCAAAACGCTCATTTCAATTTGAGAAAGAGTACGTACCGTGGAGTTCCCAGGGATCGTAAGGGAAGAGATCGAGGTCGGGGATGACGTCGGGGTGGCAGGGCAACAAGGCAGCCTTGCGGTGGAGAAAATGGACGACAAGCTCCTCGTCGGTGGGATAGAATCGGAATCCGGGAGGGAGGTTGACGTTGTGGTGATCTCCCATGGGCAAAGATGGATAGAAGAAGCTAAAAGATAGGTAATTAGAAGGGGAATAGTAAAATGGTAAGAGGAATTGATGATTATATATAAGGGCCAAAGGGGGGGGGGGTGACGTGGGAGTGAAGTTGGGTAATGAATTTGGTCACTAAAAACTAGTAATCACTTCACGACCCACAATACAACTTTGAGTTTATGATGGCTTTAGATGAGAGACAGAGAGAGATGGATCAGTGGTTTTCAGGCAAGGCGGCGGTGTGTGTGATTTTGATTTTGCAGAGTCAACTATTTATTTCAGCGCCTGCGGCTGTTTGTCTCATTACACAACCCATATCATTACGCCCCACTATCCATCCCATATAACCATATATATATTTCCTTTCAGCTACTTTTACTTTACCAACACGATTATAGTCGGTAACTACTCTTAAGTCAGGAGTTTCGAATTTTCACACGCTCAATTTATTGTATTCAAACAGGGAAAAAAGAAAAACTACTTTTGCTTTCATCTATTCCACCGACTTAATAGTTAAGACATATATCATTAAAGTTTTAAATCTCAATTTTATGAAAATATCAATAAAATATCGATGTTGGTAGATATTTATGAAAATGTTATAAAAATAAAAGATTCGTAGAAAATGTTTAAATTAATAAAGGAGTATTTCAACCTTTTTTAAATAATTTAAAAATGTTATTAATATTATGTGATATTTTGTTAGTATTTTTTATATTTTAGGATTTTTTTGCAATACTATGAAAACGTTGATTTATTCTCATTCTAATGTCGAACTCATGGACACGTGAACATCGACAATGGTGCTTTATATGTCTCCATCTTGGAATCTTCTTTCCTATATTTATAATATTAGCACAAATCTTTTACCGATCACCACCAAGTTTTTAACTTGAAAATTAAAGGTAGAAATTGAGATGTTTTTGTATTTGTAAAAAAATTAAATAGCTATCAAATTTTATAGGTAGCTAAATATTGATAAACAAAATCTTATCTTTATTCTATTTAAACTAGTGGATATTTAAATCCATGAATTAGATTTATGTAGTTTAAGGTCTAACCATCTGAGTATATACAAGTTTTTCTACCTACTAGGATTTTAATACAAAATTTATCTTTTATGCTACACATGTTAATTTTCTTTTACAAATTATAAATCTACAAAATGAATATAAACTATGCAAACCCGAGCTTTTTTTCCCTTAGTTGTACCATCCTAATGTCAAATTTTATAGATCTATTTTTTTTTTCTAAAATACAATATAGCTAAATTTAAGTTGACATAAATTTAGATTTTTTTAGTTTTACATTTAACTGTGTGAGTCAAATATTATTATTTTTTTTTATAATTTTCTTGTATAATATTTGTTTATTGGTCTTCATTAATAGCACATATATTTGGTAATGTTTGATTAGACAGTTACAATCATAATTACTCTTTTGTTTATGGCAACTCATTATTTTGTACCATCAAGATAGAGACTACATAAGTTGATGTTTCCCAAGATCTCAAAACTCTTACTAAAACGACAGGCAGAATATATTTTAATTATTTCATAATGTTATTGGCGTGATAATAATCTTTTAAAATTATATGTGATGGGTGTATTAACCTTTGGTAAAGGTTAAATTAAAGGGCACAAATAATAAGTAAAAGAACAAAGAAGAATATGGAGACCAATAATATAATTTAATGATTAAATTTTATTTTGTAAATGAAGAAAAAAAAAGAAAAAGAAAAAAAAGGAAAAAAGAGTGTGAAAATGTAAGACTTTGAGGCATCATCACACTTCATGCTTATATCACCCCCACCTGCTGTCATCCACGTGTCACGCACGAAAATGGGTTTGGTCGTGGACCAATTTCGGAAGTCAGTGGGCCCACATCATTGGAGTGTCAAGTCTGCATATATACCCATTAATAATTATCATCAACAATTATTCTCTTTTTTTTTTCCAAACTATATAAGAAAAAAAACAATAAGTACTATATTTTTCCTCCTTTTATTTTTACCACTTGGGTCAATTCTCTCTCTATAGRTTTTTAATATAACTCAACCGATTAAAACAAGAAGTTTGAATCTCCATCTCATATGTTGTTGAACTTGAAGAAAAAAGCCTTTCAAAATGGACAATTTACCTTTGATTAAAAAAATCCARTAGGATCATATTGTTGGGAGGAAGAATGCTATATGGACCGAGAAAAGCAGTTTGCAACTAAYCTCACACAAGTAAAAGATCCTTAGCTCGTCTTGTTTGAGCTAAGAATCTGACAGCTTCATCGTTTAGATGRGAGCAGTGTAAGAACTTTAGTACTAGACTAATAATTGGCATACCAAAAAGATTCCTACCTAATCTCTATAAATACGTCATCACTGATCCACTCAATCAAGTATGCAATTCTGTCTGAAAACAACTTAGAGCTTCGGAGACTGTAGGCTGACTTGAACGTCAAAGTATTTGTTCTTTGCATGCAGATCTTCCTATCAAGCTCCCTCCACTCAGCTCGCCTAGTCAGTTCGCACAGATCTCACACCTGGCAGAATTCAATAGAAACACATATTAACCTCTAATAATAGTTAGATATGCAAGTTTCAAATCTGTATGTTTTATAATAACTATGATGTAGAGGTTTGTAATTTCTCTATAATTCATTAACGGTTATCAACCACATTGTAATTCCTCTATAATTTATTAACCGTACAATTTATCAGCCACATTGTTATCACTCCTCGAATAATAAAAAATTTTAATTTTCTAGACACGTAAAAAGAGAGAGAGAGAGGGAGAGGAAAATGAAGGCATAAGATTGAGTATAAAGAATGTTGGTTTGTTTGTTTGGAAGGAAAAGGAGAGTTTGGTTTGTGAAGTGAYGGAGAAACGCATACATTCTCCCACATGGAAACCCCCAAAACGCAATCAACTATTTCTTAAGATTGCGGACTTCCCAACTGATTTGCCGGCATGCCTCCACGTGGGACCCGCCCCCTCAAAGAAAATAAAAAATWAAAAATTAAAAAYTAAAAACATTGTAACTGATCTCAATTATTATTATTGTTATTAATTACGATTTTTTATATTATATTTTAATTTAATGTAACGTATGAGTGAAGGAGAGTGGTGAGGTACTTTGCTTATGACTTCTCCAAGTCAAAAAATAATAATAATTACAATACTAATTCACTTTATTTTCACAACTTTCTCTCTTCCTTTTCTTGGCTTTGATGGGATGTGTTTGACATTGACGTAACTGAGTTTACCAATTCAACTTTTTTTTTTCCTTTAATACGATAATTAAGCCTAATCCAACTCTCCCTTTGCCTCCCTTCTTTCCACCTCCAACGTAAATCTCGTTGCATAATTTTAACCTACGTTGAATTCAAACTTTAGATTTTTAAACTTCATTTGGTGAATATCTTTTGTTTTTTTTCTTACTTTTACCTCTTGTTTCTTGTTTTTTTAATAAATAATAATAGAATGGCGTTTGATGATTGGATTTTTTTTTTGTTTATTGAAAGAAATAGAAACACGTTTGGTAACAATTTTTTTTTGAATTAAAAAAAAGTAAATGTTTGTGTAGGAAAATTAATTTTTAAAATCAAATATTCAATTGTTTGGTGTTATATTTGTTATGTATCTTATAAATCAAAGAATSATAAAATAATGCTTTTATTTATATTTCAGAAAAAAAATAGAATGGAAATAAAAATAACAAACTTGATTTTGTCAAATTTTAGAAACATTTCTAAAAAGTAAGAAACAAGAGATATAAATAGTTACCAAACGCTTATATTTCTAAAAAATTGGAAATGAGAAATAAGAAACAAGAAACCAGAACATTGCCCAAATAACTTTAAACTTTATGATATATGTCTCTCGTTTAGTCTCTAATATTTTTTTAAAAAAATAGCCGATCTTTACAATCTTCACATATATGTCTGTTTACTCTCTATACTTTGGAAAGACTTTAATATGTATGTGAATTTTTAATATTATATCTAAAAATATTTGTCGTCAACTACCTTACCTACTACATGTTTTATAGATGAACTAGTACATGAACAAAAAAAATAGACAAAAAGAAAAACAAATAAAAAAAAGATATCATGCMTAACTTAATTGGTTAAGGCATATATCATCAACCAAAATATTGAAGGTTCAAATTATCAACAAACCATGTGTATATTCTAGGCACTATTGAGTAATTATATTCTAGGGCTCTATTAAGTAATTGTATAAAAAGTACTAAAAAGGGTAATTGTATAAAAAGAAATTAACATGTTGACGGCGAATTATAGCAGAAGGCCATGTGTCCCTCGGACGAGTAGCTTCATYGGAGGGTGAAAGAACCTGCAACCAAAAATATACATGGAGGTGAGGGTCCTTCCTTATATAGGCTCGTGTGGTCGACCAGGAATGACAACGGTTGAAGGTGGCAGTGAAGCGCAGCGCGGTACGGGGTCTGCCGCCAGCTGTACATTCTTGACAACTGGCGGGTGGTGCCACCACCTACGGCTCTGAGGCTTGTCACCTGCCACAGGAAGGCGTGCTACACTAGCGTCTCTTGCCACCACTACATACAAAATGTACCGTATGTGGTCACACACCTCTTTCCAAGCGGACGCGTGTCCTGGTCGGTTTTACCTCAATAGTTAGTCCTCTTTCGGGGTCAGGCTACTCGGTTACTAGTGGGTCGAGCCTGAAAGTGTTGRAGTGGGGCGGGGCGCGTGTGGCCCAGGTGCATATCTTCAAGTATTTCCTTTGAACGGAGAGTGAGGCCCAAAGTGCTGCAGCCGCGATGATTCGCCGTCAGTGTGTACGACCACATTTATGGGGGAACAAGTACCCKTCGTCACTTCGCGGGTGGTCGCGTCCCTCGTGTGGCAGAGTCTGTTGGGTGTGTTGCCCTAAACTCGTGTTTGTAATTATGTAAAAACAAATTTGTATTCAATAAAGTTACGTTCAATCAAATTGTTGTTGAATTTATAACATTGCATTGTCCAAATCCAATAAACTAAACATCTATGGTTATTATCATGTAACCGAGACAGTATATATACTGGGTATATATTTAATATACCCTCGATATACAAGTGAATAATGTCTTAGGAATAACCTAAAGGGTCTAGAGTATATGGATAAGGTTGGGTACCTTATCCTGGCAACACTATGAACACGACCCACTTTGTAAATGTTACAAACGACCCGATCCAAGTCGTTCGTGT